GGTCACACCTTTTTACAAACCGTAATAAATACGCTATTGTTATTTTCTCATACTTATCTATGTTCTAAATTTTTTATATATTTTTTTCCACGAATGCTGCTCGTGTTTTACGTTCGTTAATATCTACATTTATACGTATAATTTTCAGATTTTCTACCATCAAAATTCTTTAGCATGATTGGTTAAAAATTTGACTAACAAATCTCTACCGTTAGCTGTTTTCAAATATGAACTCGAATGGTATTCTTAGGAATACTGCCTAATTTTTCTTAAAGAAATGATTAGTCGATTCCCAAGTCCATAATCGATTTTCATTAAAAACGTTAATCGGGATATGCAAAATTGAGTAGTGTGTCAAGGCAAATATAAATCAACCAATTTATTTTATTTTCACAGTAAATAATTTAAAAATAATAGTTTTAAAACAATTTTTAAATAGTTTTTAAAAATTTTTAAAAGCGCAGTATGCATCAAGTTTAGAATTTTATTTTTGTTATTTCAAATTTAAGCTTTAAATACATTATTATTACGTATTATTTGTTATGATTGCGCATAATATTACCTGTTTAGAGGTATTGTCGAGACCTGATTCGGAAGAAACAGCGCTTTGTACCTGTTTTGGATCTATAGAGCCTATGCTGTTTTCTTCATCGGGGTGGGTTTCAATAATTGAAACGGGTGATTGAGAAATGTTAGTGTTCTTTTGTGAAGTGATATCTGAATTATGGTTTTCGATTTGAAAGGTAGATTCGCATTCTTCCGTCAAGAATTGTAAATCCCGCTTCTTGGATTCCTGTTCTAAATTTGCAACTCTGCCCTTAAGCTCAGCATTTTCTGTCTGGCTTTGTCTCGCACTCTCAGCATGTTCCTTTGCAGATCGTTCTAATTCCGCAATTCTGGTATTAAGCTCTGCATCTCTTAATTTCGCATGCGAATCTTTTTCCTCTATAATTTGTCTCAGTTGAGCATTCTCGGCCAAGAGTTTTGCATTTTCCTGTCTTAATAAATCTAGTTCGTATTGCATGGTTTGATAATAATTTTTATATAAGACGCGATTTATTTAAATTATCGAATTAAAAAAAACATGCCAAAACCGTGAACAATGTTCACGATCAGAGTTACATAAAAAATCCGATCATATGCATACATCAATACAATAAAACAAACCCACGAAATACACATGCAAAGTAAACGCGATTATTTATGCAAATTCAGCCACCAGGACCAGCTTTATTAATATTTAAAATAAAAAAAATATATACAATGGATAAAACGTCAGAATGTAATAGTAGTGTCATTTAAATAAATCTATATGCTAAAAATACATAATATAAAATACAAAGGTAAAGGTAAACCACCTATATATTAGATTATTATCTAATTTAAATTATCTATTTTCGCTTTCTAATATTAGAATATGTTCAGTTAATCGATGAACGACTAGCCAAACAATAACTTTACATAAATTATGATAAGTTATTACACCAATATCACATTCTGACGATATAGCCCTATCTATCGCATCACTTGAAATTCTATCTTCTTCAACACCCACCAATATACCAAGCGAAAATCTCTCTTTCCTAATCGCTGTATCCAAATTATTTCCTCTTCTTATTACAGTTTCTAATTCGTCTACATGCGATCGATCTAATAAAAAGATTATTAGCAAAGCCCATCAATAAGTGAAACGAACTGTCTGGATAAACATTTGATGTAAAGCATCCCTACTCTATGAGACATACCTATATTTTTTTTATACCAAGCTTTACGAATGTAAATCCGGAAACTTCACCAATGATGTCTCGTCCTTCATCACCAGGTTTCCTAAATTAATAATTAATATGAGTATATGCATCATTATCATATATAGTTAAGCAACATGTATCCTACAGTAGCATAGCGAACTTTTATTGTGATTGGCTGATTTTTGTAGATCATCTCGTCATACTAAAGTATTATTAAAGTAA